GAGAGGTACTGCAACGTGACACTCGCCGCACCAGCTGACTCTCCAAACAACGTCACCTTCGTCGGATCACCTCCGAATTTCGCAATGTGCTTTTGAACCCACTTGAGAGCAAGGCGTTGATCCAAGAGACCCATGTTTCCGTCAACCTCCGAATCCACGTACAGGAAACCAAACGGTCCCAAACGGTACTGCATGGATACCACAATGACGCCCTCCTTAGCTGCAAGAAACTTGCCATCGTAGACGTCGAGTGTGGACGTTCCACTGAAGAAGCCTCCTCCGAAAATCCACACCATCACAGGTAGTGGCTTACCATCCTGCGGCATATTCGCAGGCACCCACACGTTGAGATAGAGACAATCTTCACTCATCCTCGTATTGTTAACCCACACTCGTGCGGCAGGATTGGCCTTATCGAAACCACTGAAAAGGTACTGCCAGCAGGTGTTTGGACGCTGTGTGGCGTCAAGTTGACCTTTCCATAATTTTACTGCTTTCGGTTTGGCAAAACGAAGACTGCCAACAGGTGGCTTTGCAAATGGGATGCCTAGATATGCGTCCACCTCCACACCATCGACGATCCATTTGGTGCCCTTTAGGGAAACACCACTTCGGAGGGTTAACAAGGCATCACCGCTTCTTTCTTCGGTTGCCTTAACAAGGACAACGGAGATGAAGAGAAAGAGAAGCATATCAGTATCGGAAACTCGTTGTATGTTGGTGCCTTTGGGATAGTAATATTTATATTCCATCTTTTACTGCTTCAGCCAATGGTCTTCTGATTAATAGCCAACACAACAGCATGTGACTGCCGGCATCAACCAGAATTACACGCGGAAGTACGAGTTTGCAATAAAAATAATGCGAATTTGTACACAAACAAAGTGGTAAACACGGTCTAGAAAAACCTGTCTTAATTAGAACAGCATTGTTTAATTCATGAGGCGGAATCTAAGAATTGTTTGAGCTTAGGCTGAAAAAACATAAATAAACCACAATATTTTTGTTTGAAAAGTAATCGGTGGCTCATGAAATACCCTGCAATTTCTTGAGGTCAACGTATTTTACAATGTAGCGACGGCAAGATAGATGGGGCAAAGTTGGCGACTAAACCTGGTGTAACACGTTTGATTTTCGTTGAATGTGGCTGAGATATAAGCTACCGGCTGAGATGCTCCGTTGGCGGTATACTTCAAGACTGTAACGGCTGCCCAGAGAAACGCATTGGTCAGAAGTCAAAGGGTATGAGCTACATTTGGAATGAATTGACAGTAGAAACTAACTATACCCACAAGTCGTCGAGGTTGACTGATGGACTTCGGTTCTGGGTTGCATCTCTCTATTTTAGGCAGCAGTAGAAACCAAATTGAAATCACTGCACTGCATTCAATTAATCTACAACTGATTCCATGCCTGATGATTCTATCTCTGGTCCCTGTGCTAGATTCTACCTGGAACTTTTCGCTGCATGTCCTAACTGTTCCAATCTCTTTCCAAACTCTGGCATCACGCTCTGAAGTTCGTGAGAACGGAGGCATAAGACAGTACATCTCAGTGTATAATCGAATATGTTTGGTTGGAGTTTGTTAAGTCTAAATGGATAAGATAGGAATGCTTTGATTGAAAAGGCTTTTGGCACGTGGTTATTGATGCCCGAATACTAGGCTTAACTGCTAGTAGAGACGACTGAGCATATCGTGCTTAATTCGAGTCCGTAGGGTGAACATCAAGAAGGACTTGTCTGCTTACAACTACCACTGTCAAATGGCCACACCGTGTTAAACTCAGGCTCCCTCGATTTCTGCATGTTTTTTTAGTGAAATACTGACTTGTTGGCATGAAATATTGGGTTCTTAATCGCCAAACCCTCCTCTACTAACCATCTACGCCTTGTCTTTTTACTTTTCAGACTTGGTCAGTTTAAGTAAACATGTGCTTCAGAAACTTCGTTTAGCACATTATAAAGTCATTAACATTGTATGTTTTAAACTCTGTTTGAAACAGCTACCATCACTTCTTGTCCCGAAAGCTGTTTTACACTAGAGGTGGTAGGGCGTTGGCAGTGGCGACTTCGGGTCCTTGTCGCTTGACTTCCTTATGTTTTTCAAGACTGACTGTTAGGTGATAAATCTACCTTAGTTTCCGTAGCATTATATTGTACAAACCAGTTACGGGTGGATATGGACAGGGTTTTATTCAGTGTGTAGGTTAGAAAATTTTAGTCTGCAACATTTGAGACTAGTATGGGAGACAAATTTGAGCGCAAAATATTTTTAGGTCAATTTACTTCAAAATTTAAAATTATTGTTTTGTTTTGATTCTTAAACCTATTAAGAACTCGTTGAAGCTCAATTTTACTTGAAGCCGCAAATAATTGTTTCGATTGTTTGGCCAACCATGCTGTTAGTCAAGCATTTTTTTGCATTTTTTTATTCCATCTTTTACTACTTCAGCCAATTGTCTTCTGATTAATAGCCAACACAACAGCATGTGACTGCCGGCATCAATCAGAATTACACGCGGAAGTACGAGTTTGCAATAAAAATAATGCGAATTTGTACACAAACAAAGTGGTAAACACGGTCTAGAAAAACCTGTCTTAATTAGAACAGCATTGTTTAATTCATGAGGCGGAATCTAAGAATTGTTTGAGCTTAGGCTGAAAAAACATAAATAAACCACAATATTTTTGTTTGAAAAGTAATCGGTGGCTCATGAAATACCCTGCAATTTCTTGAGGTCAACGTATTCTACAATGCAGCGGCCTTTAAATATCAACGGCAAGATAGATGGTTTTTGAAACAGACTTCGGTTTCTTTCTCCGCTTGTGCTAGTTTCATGACGTTTCTCGAAAAGACCTTAGCATAGCTGAGTGTACAGGAAATAAAGTGTGTTCCGGTTTTCTGCATTCAAGTAAGTAGAACATGCACTATCAGCCTAATAGTACAGACTCATCACGTTGGCACTGGTTACCGACCTGCATTCCATTGGACAAATTTCGGTTGGCTTAATTTGAATTCTCGAATGAACAAGCTTGGTACTTTGTGTTTAACAAGTCTTGCCTCATGCCACTCATACTTGCAATTAGGTTCAAATTGTTTTGAACATAAATTTGTTTTGCTAGGAAATGTTTTAGGAAATAAAGCTCACAAAAATTTCCTACTTATTACTAATTTCGTGCTGATTCTCGCGCGATTCTTCCTCTGACCGTGAGAAAATACTGGCGATTTTGAGTAAATGTGATGTTTGTACAAACAATTGGTAAAATAGCTTCTTAAAAGTAGTATCTGCAATGCAAGCATCAGTTCAAATCGAAGATTCGGGACATTTAAATAACTTATGAAGAATACGATTTTCAGCGTAAACGGAGTTGTGTGTGACTTTAATAGCGTAATGCGATTAAGAGAGCAATTTTGTTAAATGATTGCAAGCTCGTTCCCTTATTTTCTCGCGATTAAGAGATCGATTTCATTAAATAAGTTCAAACTCGGTGCATTATTTTCCTTCTCATTAAGTTATTAGTCATGTTGAGAGAGTCCATTTCATGAATATACGTGGACCCCTTTGGATGAGGTTAAACCATTATGGATATAAATAGCCGCCTGTGTGAAGATGTATGTCCCTTAAGAGAATTAGAGGACATTGTGAAAGGTCCTACCGAGTACGAGACGAACACGATTAGCAGCTTTTTGAATTTAATATTGTCAGTGAGTTGTGGTTCTGAAAAGTAATCATCATTTGAGCCTAAAATTAATAAACTATTCATTATTTTGTGTGTATTGAATCATGTGACTTCAATTTGACATGGTTTGTAACCTGAATTTTATTGTTTATCATTGTTTATGTCTGTGAGTAAGGCAAGTCCGCTATATTGTAAAATACGTTGACCTCAAGAAATTGCAGGGTATTTCATGAGCCACCGATTACTTTTCAAACAAAAATATTGTGGTTTATTTATGTTTTTTCAGCCTAAGCTCAAACAATTCTTAGATTCCGCCTCATGAATTAAACAATGCTGTTCTAATTAAGACAGGTTTTTCTAGACCGTGTTTACCACTTTGTTTGTGTACAAATTCGCATTATTTTTATTGCAAACTCGTACTTCCGCGTGTAATTCTGGTTGATGCCGGCAGTCACATGCTGTTGTGTTGGCTATTAATCAGAAGAC